ATTTGAAAATATGTTTCATTAAATAGTTATTCATATATAAAAAGCAATTATATTTATAATAAAAAATATATATATATATAAAAAGCTCTTAAATATTAGTAAATTTTTCATAATAATTTATTTAATTTAAAAAAGTAATATAATTATCTTGTAATTTAAAAATATATTACTTAATTATTCTAATTAATTAATATATTAATATTTTAAATTAAAATAAAAATAAGTTAAATATAATATTAATTAACAATAAATATAATAAATTAAAATATAAATTTATAAATTAACAAGAAAATTCTTTCTTAAAAAATTTAAAAAAATCACATACCATTAATTAAATATAAAATTTCTATTTATCAGAATAATTAATATATTTTTTTTTGATTTTTTCTTTGACTGATTTAAAACTTTCTAAAATAAATTAATTTAAAATATTATAAATAAGTAAAATATAATATTTTTTTATTTATAAATTCTGATTTTTATAACTTAATGTTATAAGATTTATTATTATTATCTATTTTATAATAACATTTAATATTATAATATTCAGTTAGCTTATATTATCTTATAAATATTAAAAGATAAATCTTAACTTTTAATAGATAATTTGTATGTAAAAGGAATTGAACTTGATTAAAATATATCTCAAAAGTATAATTATTCATAAAATAATAAACTAATATTTTTGCTGATTCAATATATTAAAAAAATAATTTTAACTTAAATATTTCTATTCTAATTCTTAATTGATTAAATTAATTAAAATTTAACTCAACAAGAATAAAATTTTAAAATTTTATAAATATATCATAACGTAATAAATTTTTTATATATATAAGGTTGTAGACGAAACTTAAAGGTTTTGAAAGTTATCTAAATAAAAAAAGGTAAAATTTAACGAAATTATATTAAACCTTATTAAAAAATCTGTGAAATTCTAAAAAAGGTAAAACTATATCAAAGATTATAAAAATGTGAAATTATATCAAAACTTTAGTAAAAAATTAGCAAAACTATAATTTAGACATTTTGCCAAATCCAAAATGAGTTTAAACAAGTAATCTTAATTATATATTTTATAATAAAATTCAGCTAATAAATATTAAAGTTTTTATAGTAAGATTACATTTTTAAATAAACTTAAAAAAGAGTCTAAAAATAATTTAGAATCATAAACTGTATTTTATTCTATTTTTATTAATAATAAGTAAAATATTTGATATTCTTTATCAAAATATTTCATTATACATGAAAAGACTTTTAATTAAATTTAGTTTAATAATTTGAGATTTTTAAAATATTAATTTTATTTAATACAAAAAATTAATTTATCTAAAAAGTATTATTTTGAATAATTTTTATAAGTTAAAATTTAATTCTTTTATGATTATTATAAAATAATTTTAAAATAATTTCAAAAATTAAAATAATATTATTTAATATTAAATAATAATAAAGATTATATAATTACTTAGTAATCTATTTATTCAATTTATAAAGTAATACTAAAAAGTAAATATAAGATTATAAACTAATACAGTTATCTCTTGATATAATGAATTTTTTAAACAAATATAATACTCTTGTTATAGTGAATTGACTAATTAAATCTTTTAAAATCTTCACTATAGCCTTATAGCAAAGTTAAGGTCTAGAACATAAAGTTCGTTATAATAAGAGTTGACTGTATATATTTATATAAATGTATACATAAATATAAATTTGAAATATTTTTTAGATTTATAAGTTTATTCAATTTCTTTAATCATTTTATTAGATACTGATAAGCTTCTATTAGATCATTTTTTAGTACTAATTTATATGTTAAAATTACAGAAATAAACAAATTTTGTTAAAAATTTTCAATCAGTTTCTTCTAAAAATCTTAAATAATAGTTATTTATATATTAATATAACTATAATTAGAAAATTTTTCTCTATATCTATTTTATTTAAAAGTATACTAATACTTGTATTCTATCAGCTTTTTTTGTATAATTATAAGATCAGTTAGTATCAGCTTATTTTTTTTAATCTATAGTTTTATTATAATCTATTTTACAATTTTAAGAAAAAAACAGTATATAAGATCTATAATAAAAAATTATATAGAATTAAAATAAGATAAGATATACATATCTTGATTATTATATAAAGATTTTTGATACATGTTTTTATCTTTATTTTTCAAATTTATAAATTTTTTCTATTTAAGAATATTATTTTTAACTTCTTTAATATTTCTTACTATAAAATAACTATTTATATCAACTAATCTACTTATTTAATTTATCAGTTATTATTCAATTTTTTTAGATCTTTCTATTAATATATAAGAATTATTACTCTTTTTAAAAGAATTATATAAATAATATTTTCTCTTTTTTAAAAATATTTTTTTCTTTTAATAATCCTACTTATATTAATATTAGTATTATATTTTATTATTATAATCTTTATGATAATATTTAAGTTTTTTTATTTGAAGATATTTTTAAATACAAAAAAAGTAATAATATACAAATATTTACTACTTATTTAAATATATTACTAACTAATAATTAAAAATGTTAAATGCTTTTAGTTTTAAGTTTAATTTTTTTTAAACTAACTTTTTAGATAAATATAAAAAGAAAGAATTTTTAAATTAACTAAAAATTCTGATTTAGTCAAATTACAACTTTTACATTTTTGATAGTTTATTTAAATTTTTAATGATAATTTAATTATTAGATATAAATTTTTAATTCTAATCAATCTAAATAAGTTTTAAATAGAATTATAAGAGATAATTATTATATTAATTTTTACTTTTATTTTATATTTTTACATCAATTTTAAAATTTAATAAATTTATAATAATTACATTATTAAAAAATAAAAAATCTGAATTTTTATCTATCATATAATTATAAAATATACATTTTATAAAATGATTTTTTCATTTGTTAAATTATTATAAAGTATACATTCTATACATGATTTTTTATCTATTAAATCATTATAAAAAATATATTTTATATGTAATTTTCATTATTAAATAATTATAAAATATATATTTTATATATTTTTTTATTTTACTTTTTCATATTAAGTTTAAATTTTTTATTAAAGAAAAAAATATATATAATACATTGTAATTTTATGAAAATTATATATCATAAAATATAATATTTTTATAAATTTCTATATTAAACTTTTTATTTAATAACTTAATATTATTTTTTAATAAACAAATTATTATTTATGTAATTTAATTTAAGTCTATTCTTTATATGAAACTAATTTATAACTGATACTATAATAACTTAAAAGGTTAAATTTAAAAATAATATTATAAATTAAAAGTTTTTTATATAATTTTATTAGTTTATTTTATTTAATGAATCTATATTAAATTAGAAAAAAAAGAAAATATGTGAATTTAAAGATCATAAACCTTAATATTATAATTAAACTATCAAGTATTAATGAGAAGTTTTTTTAGAGATATTATTAAAGTATTAAAAGATTTTCTTATAATAAATATATTTAGAATTTAATTTTGAATATATTGATAAGTTAAAAAAAAGTATTGGTTAAGATTAGTTAAGATTAATCAGATTAAAAATTAGGTAATTTATTTAAAGGATCATAATAATTATATTATATTAATATTAATTTTGATAAAATTAAAATTGAATATAATATCTGAAAGACTTATATACTAATTTATTTATTTTATTTTTTAGAATATTGAATATATATTATATATATTTCCAGATAATGGAATTGAAAATTTACTTAAATACTTTCTAAAAAGTATTTAAAACTTATATTACTAAATTATGGAATATATAACTACCAATTAGTATACAATCTTAATTTGTACAATATATTATTCTTTATAAAATAAGTGTTATATATGATATTACAAAAAGTATATTAACTTATTTTAATATTTCATTAAATCTATTAAGAATAAAAAATAAAATTTATTTTAAAATATTAAAAGATTATTAATTAAGAAGTTATTAATTTTAAAATAAATAAGATAATTTTTTTTAAAAAGTATTTTTTTTTTTAAGAAATTATATATTTGAATTAAAGTATAATATAAGATTATTTTTTTTTATAATAATATTTATCTATTTATAAAGAATAGATTTAAAATATCTCGTTTTAAAATTAATTTAAAAATTTTTATACATACAATATTTATTTAAATAATACTGTATATTTTAATTATAATAATTAAAAGGAAAAAGCGATATTAAATAAGAATAAAATGAAAAAGAATATAACGATTTAAAATGTATAAGAAAAAAAAAAAATTATCAAATGAAGAATCAAAGCAACTAAAAGATTAAAAGAAGATAAAAAAAAAAAAAAATAATTAATAATTAAATAAACGAAAAATTAAAGAATAAAGTAAAAACATTTAATTCCTTGCTAAAAATAACTTGAAACAAGGAGTTAGGTATTAAATCTAAATTTAAGATTATATGCAATAGAAAGGGTCCATATTACTCACAAAGATAAGAAATTTAAAAGCTAAAAAAGAGTTGTAAATTTAAAGAAGGAAAATGTAAAATGTTAAATTTTAGAAGAAATCAATAAATTCTACTGCCAATTTGATAGATTTTGTAAGTTTATCGTCATCTTTATTCAAAACTAATTTTAATTTTATAAATAATACTTTTTTTTTTTTTTGTCGATGATCTACCAAACGTCTAGTATCATCTAGTATACACAAACAATTCCCGCTGACTTGTATCGAAAAATAAAAAGTATATTATTATATTATTATTCACAATCAGAAAAAAAAGAAAAAAAAAAAAAAAAAAAAAAATCAAAAAAAATTACAAAGAAAAACAATTGTCAATAATAAAAGTACAACTAATGAATAATATTCATTTAAATATCGTTAAAACTCGTACAAATGTTTTTGGATACATTCCAATTCAAAATTACTATAAAAGTATAATTTAACCAACCAAAATGAATAAAAATGTCTTTGATTAAGATCTAATACGATTTTTTTGTTGATATAAAATAGAATTCCTGTTTGAAGGGATTAAGAGTTCAGAAGAAAGCCGTTTATTCATATTATTATTTGTGTGTGAACCATGGCCACCGACTGGAATTTGTAATTTTGGAGAACTAGGTTTATTAATGTTTCCGCTTCCATTACGTCTGTGCCGATTGGTTGATTTATTGCTGCTACCGTTACTAATGTTAGAATTCTTACTCTTCGTTGATGGTGCACTCATATCATTCATCAAATTTACATGACGGAAATCTTCAGATAAAGCTAATAAAGTATCTTTTGCCCAATAACCAGAGTCCTGACGAGGATTTGGAGAAACACGTCCATGTGGGATTGGAGGTTCAATTAACATCGAATCCGTTCGTTTTCTCGGTACAAATTCGCTATTAGCTCTCTTTCTTGGTTGATGAATATCAGGTTGAGGTAAGTGTTTATCGCCGGGAACAAAAGCCGATATAGGGCGACGACGACTTTGTGCTTGGTGAACAGGTTCAACTACAAGAGACGTTCTTTTACTCGCCACAAGTGGACGTGAATTGTGTTGATTCATATTGTGCGAAGTTCTCACACGTGGAGAATGAGAACGTGTTGGAGACTGATTTGGTGAACCTTCAGGAGAACCCGACACTGAAATTATTAGAATTTGTTGAGCCGGGTGTGTTTTTTTTTTAAGAAAGGAAAAGGAAAAGAGAGAGAAAATTACCATGTTCAAGCCATGCTTCAATCCTTCCGTTACTATTTTTCCTCATCGTTGTAATTCGAGGAGGAGGGGCTACTTTAATTTTGGGAGTAGATTTTAAGGCAAGTGGAGTATCATCTTCGCTTGAATCATCATCATCATCATCATCATGTTCGGAACCAGATTCATCGGAAGAATCATCTTCTTCATCAACTTTTTCCAGAATTATAGATTGACTGGAAATGCTCTTAATCGGAGGTAATGTTGGAGGAGAATCCGAACCATCCGATGATGATGAACTCGACTTTTTAATCTTACTTGATTTCTGTGATTTGGGTTTAGGAGAATTGACGGAAGGTTCACTTTCCTCATCATTCTCTTCAGAATCTTGAGGGATGAATGATTTATTCTGTTTATAAAACGAAGTTGGTCGGGAATTTGCGGCATTAATGGTATAAGTTGAAGTTGGACGAGGTGATGATACAAGTAATGAATTCGGTCGAGAATTAGTGACATTTCCAGGTTTCAATTTTCCAATAGCATCTATTTCAATAATGTACAACGTGAATTCATATGATTAATAATCAGGTTTATGCATACCAGTTAAGAGGATACTAAAATGCGTTAAGTGGCGGGCTTGTGTAACACAGCCTATTTACTAGATCGTGCTATTTTATATTTTTATATACAACTCTTACCAGGAAGGGTTTTGTTTTGTTGAAGTATCATGGAAGTTCTATGACTTGATGAGGTGGAAAAAGGATTAGCATTATGTATGATATGCCTATTTTCCAACATTGATTGTCTCACGTCCAGTAAGGTTTTACTACCGCTACCACGTCTTTCTTCAGGTATTATGACACTAGTCCTCGGACTTGAAGTAAAGGCCTGACTTTGACGCCTAACTTGTTGAGAGACCTGTTGCGAAGAATGTTTTGTTTGGATTGGCGTGTTCGGCTGAGAAGATTTGTCTTCTTCGTCATCATTTAAAATTGGAGGAATTAACAAACTCAATGGACGCGGCAGGTGAAATTCATTCGTTGGTTGTTGTAAAGCAAAGGTGTTCCGTTGCCTCTGAAAGATGGCACTTTCTTCCGCACTATAGATGTTTTCTGGATCCTCCTTCAATGCTCTAGCTAGTTGTAATCTTGAAAATACGGCAGCAGCATCATCCGATATCGTGTCTACGCTCATGTTTTATTTTATTTTTGAAAAGAAGAAAAAAAAAAATCTCTTATAGAAAAGATTTATTGAAATAAAAAGGAAAAAGAAAAAAAAATAAGGTTGAGTTAATCAAAATTTTGCTTGGTTATGTATTTTATTCAAGGGATAGTATGAAAAGGATGTAAAGATGTATGTATATTTATCTTGAGGAGGAAAAAAAAAAAAAAAAAAAAAGGATAAAAAAAAAGGTGATTTTTAAATTTTTTATTTTTAGTGAGTTGTGTGTATTGTGTATATATATATATATATGTGTATGTACGTATGTTGTATTTATTGTATTTATTGCGGGCGGAATAAAGTAAGAAATACAGAACTGATATTTGAGGCTGACTTATTTCTTATGACGGAATGAAACCTGACTTTATAAAAATATATATTTACAATAATAGAAGGTTGCATTCAAAAAAATTATAAATATAAATAAAAATATATTTTATTATTATATTATAAATATTTTATATTATATTATATAAATAAATAAATAATAATAATAAAAAATAATTTTCGATCGTTAAAAGTTCGCTTTTTTTTTTAAAAAGATTTGTTTGCAAAAGGGACAGTTCTTATGATTATTTATATAGCTATCAATCAAAGGAAAAAAAAAAATTAAAAAAAAATTTATTCTCTTGGCTTTGTTTATATTAGAAAATTATGGATTGGAAAATTTGATTGTGTCGTTGTCTGAGGATTTTTTTGTTGAATAATATAATTGGTTTGTGAAAATGATAGAAAAAAATAACCATGTATATATATGTATGATATATTAACTGGAGGGTACAAACAAAAGAGCGAAATCCTTTTAGAACTTTCTGAAAAAAAAAAAAAAAAAAAAAAAGTTATTTTAAGAAATAATCTTTTCTATAAAAAAAAATAAAGCAAGGAAAAAAAAAAAAAAAAAGGGTTTGATGACTTTGTATGAAGCTTTCGGCGTTGTTGTAAAGGAAAAAAATAACCTTTTTTTGAATTTATATACAAGTATATATATATTTTTTCTTTCTTGTGAGGTGATCAACCAACTAAATACATTTATGTTTATCTTGCGCGATAAATAAAAATCCTCAAACTTTTTTTTCAAAAAAAGAAAAATAATCTAAATTTAGTTCCGAAAAATTGTTTACGTCTATATATAGTTATATTTTGCACTTGACTCTGCATATTAACCTGGGTTTGTACTGCGCCGGCAATCAATTTAATGTCTTAAGGCACCTATGAATGAATTTTATTATTATCTACATTGTAATCGATCCTTTACATGAAAATGCATGCTACCATTTAAAAGAATGGATTCAATTATAATACATTTTATTTCGCTTAGATCATCAAATCAATTTTTGGGGAAGGCAATAAAAAAGAGATGAAACGTTTGGAGACATTTATAGTTAGGAGGTGTTATTTTTAAAAAGTTAGACACCAATCTTTCATTTATCCATATACAAAAAGCAATTATGGGTTAAATGGTATGATCCCCAACCAAACCTTTTTTGAATTTCCATATGAAACTGATAATACTTTTAAATCAGAACATATTTCCTTTTTATTTATTTTTCTCATTCATTTGTTGAAAGTTCACCAATCATTTTAATTTATTTTATTAGAATCTGATGAATTAGGAAATAGCGTAAATCATCATGCATTATATGCATAATATAAACTTTAATTAAATGAAGTAACCTATTCAAGAAATGGGATTATGCTATGATGTAAGATGTAATCAATGAAATAGAAATTTTTAAAAAGTCGTGATGCGCTAATTTCATTTATGGATTTATTTACTTTTTTAAATTTTTTTTTTTTTTTCCTTCTCGTAACAATACTAAATTTTTTTCTTCCCCCTTTTTGACGTTAGTGCGGTGTGACTTGTAAACAATAATTAATTTAATCAATTTTGTATCTCAAAAAAAAAAGCTCGTTGTAAGACAACTTTATCTTTTGAAAGTTTCGATATCTATTTTCCCTTTCTTTCTTAAATCTGGTACTTTTAAATAAGCAAAAAAAAAGGGGGGGGGATTCATTTCGGTTATATGAATTCTTTATTATTATGAAAAACATGACAAATTCCGTGATACATTTATTTATCCTTTAATGTAACATCATCATCATCAATCAAATGTGATATGTTTTAAATTTATGTTGGATGGGCTGCGCCAATCAATCTTAAATTCCAATTTCTCGGATACATTTGCACAGACCCAACCGGAACCCTCCTAATAAGAAATTATATTCATTAACGGAATCTGTCCGAAAATGCTGATCATCTCGGAGTCATCTATTTTTGACTTTTTCTATGTAAAGATGTTGTTTGATCTGCCCGGATATTTATTCCTTTATTTGGTCTCATTTTATTTACCTTGAGAAACGCACATGATAAAGAATGATCTCGACTTTGCAACCCCCGAATCTTTTATATCACATAAAACAAATTTGTTGCAAAACTTTCTTTGAGCCTCCCTCTTGTTATCTAACTTTGGATGATTTCAATCAATTAAAGTATGGTGACACCGATTATTTGGAAAGCATAAATTACAAATCACAAAATAAAGTTAAAAAAAAAAGTGTTTTTCTCTGGAAAAATAAGTGAGGGGTGTACATGGTGGTTAGACAATCAAAATTATAATACGTTACAACATTAACATGTGTTGTCTTTTGACAAATTATAACTAATAGACTTTATTAACTTTTATAATTTGTTTGTTCGTATCTTTTTTTGATTTACTGTTATTCAATATTAGTTAATTAAGTCAATTTGCAATCGAAAATCCCATACTTTGTATTAAAAAATGAAATGTCCTGACGCTCAGAGATCATCACGTGATAATTACAATGTTCATCGATCAGCACAAATCAAAAACGTGATTATCCCACATTTAGCTTCTGCCGGCATATAAAGTTCAGTTTCAATATGTCTTATCTGTCCCATTGCATGCAGGTAATGAACGAGCATGTTTATGACACCGCTCATGGTTGAGATATCGAATTCTTACTGAATTAATATGATTTATCGTTTAAGTTCTTCTTTTTTATGATTTGAGGATATATTACACAAGTTTTGCATGATGTGGGTCAATATACCACAGGAGGTTTGTTTATAAATAATTTACCAACATTGGACCAACTCAGGTCTCTACTTCAAGTTACATCAAGTAAATGGTTGTATAGTTTGTTAAAAATGTTGGTATTTCCACGTATGAAATTTTTACTATTTTCTATTATATCGATTATCTGAACATACAAATCGAACATGGTAAATTTTTAATGGTTGACAGTCAAATCTTCATCAATACCTTAGGTATAACATGCAAACTAGAAGAATTAATACACTGAAATTCCATTGTAATATTCATGTCTGGTAAATTAGTACTATTCAATACTTCTTTTAAACAGGTCTGCAAAAGTTCCATTATCATTTAACAAAATCAATTTCATTATAAATAAATTATTAAAATGGATGTATAATGACTAAATTAATCAAAATGAAAAGAAGAAATTTTTTTGTACAAGGCAACTAAATTTGTCAAATGTAGATTTTTACAATAGGTATTAAAACGGGTGAGGATGACGTTAAACAAACTTTTATATTGTAGCGGCGTTACATGAAGCTATATCGTAAAAAGAACCAATTTTTATCTTCTAAATCAATGATGCTAATTCTGAAGGTATTGATTACAAAAAATAATATAATTATTGCATTACTTCAAAGTTCTATTACCGAATACTCATAAGATATTAAGTATATCTAATATAATTGTTAGTTTTTAGTCAAAGTTTTCGGATTTTATTATATTTAGTCTATTATTAAATATCAGTAATACTATCTATGAAATCTAAAATAAAGGATTATATACTTTTATACGCTTTGTAAGATTTGAAATTTAAATATTAAATATAATATCTCTTTACTAAAAAGCATTTTACTATAAAAAAGTTATATGCTTGATTCTAAAGTTCTTACTATTTTAAATCTGCATAAATTATTTAATTAGCAAGTAAATATATTATGATAATTTTGAAGTATATTTTTTCTTTAATATTTATAAACATAATGTATATAGAATTTGGCTACTTTCAAGATTTATTTTTAATTTACACAAATTTATCTAAATTTCATTATTATCAAAAATAATATAAATAATTATATATGAACACTAATATAATAAAATTTTGATAATATAATTATGTGTTAATATTCTGCAAAAATTTTAAATTGATTCAAACTTAATTTGATTCTAATAAATTAAAATCATATTTAATTTAGATTTTGATTTAATATGATTAAAAAAAATGATTTTTAGATATTTTTTAAAGATAATAAGTTTTTTTAATGAAAAATAATAATTTTTTAGATTTTTTTTAAAATTGAAAAGTTCTTTTTATTAAAAAAAATGATTTGTAAATTTCTTTTAAAGAAAAGTCAATTTTTTTAAAAAAAATTGTTAAAATATTTTTATTAAAAATATTTAAATTATATAATAATTAAAATAATTATAATTAACAAATCAAATTATAATTATTAATTTTATATGATCTATATATATAATCTATTGATAAATAATAACAAATTTTTTAAAATCTGATAAACTGATACTTATATAATATATTAATTAATTTAAATCTATAATAATTAATCATATTTTTTAAAATTTATAATAGTATTTAAATATTATTATAGTAGAAATATATAATAATAATTTTCAATTCTTATTAAATCTTATAATCTGCATTAGGTATAAACTTTATGATTTATTATTTATATTTTATGAAAAATTTATATATAGTAGATAAATTATAAAAAATTATATAATCACTTGTAAAATCTCTAAATTTTGTTTAATAAACTTAATATTGATTTTATTGATAAAAAATTTTTTATTAAAATAAAATTTATTTATTATAATAGAATGATAGTAAATAATATACTTTTAAAAGTATTACTTATTATATTCTATTTAATGTATAATATTATCTACTTATAAATATAATATTACCTATTTATAAGTATAATATTATCTTCTTACTGTTTTTAATACTTTAAAATTTTTTGTAATTATATTACCATCTATTTATTTTCATTATTCTGTAACTTTTTCATAGTTAAATTACTACTTTTATATTTTCATTACTTTGTAACCCTTTTATATTTAAGGAATTAGTTATATATTTTCAATAATAATATTAAATAAAATTAAAATATTTAGTCATTTAATGAAATTAAAATTATTTAGTTCTTAATAAAATCAGACTAAGTAAATAGTACATTTAATATAAATATATAGATTATGATCTAAAGGTTGGAGAAGAGATTGAATAATATCAAATAGTTGAACAAAATTTAATTTTAGTCGAATTATTCTTAACTTTAGCTAACAACCTGAACAATCTGTATTTTTATTTATATTTTTATAATATAGGACCTTTGCAATAGAAAAGGAAGAAACTGCCGGAAAAAATCAATTTTACTTTTATATACCAAATATGATTTTTAAATCAAAATATGTTCAGATTTAACATTAACTCAATTTTTATTTTTTTTAGCTGTTTCCCCCTTTTCTATTGCAAAGGTCCTATATATTAAAGAACTATAAAGGTTGATTGCTAGAAAAATCAGGTTCTAGGAATTTTTTAGTAAAATTGAGATTTTTATTGCATTTTAGTTTTTGATATTATTAAATTAAAATGTATTAAGCTCTTAATTTTAGTCAAAAATTTCTCAGAACCTGATTTTCCTAGAAATATTCCTATATTATAAATATCGCTAATAAACTATTTATATCAATTATTATTATTTTTTCTTTTTAAAGTATTAGTTTTAATTTTAACTTTACTAAAAAAATTTTTTCTCACAACTTGACAAATATTATATAATGGAAATACAAATTTATAATTTAATATCATATACATTAGAATATCTACTAACTGTTAATCATATCTGCATTAATAATATACAGATATATAGTTTTTTTGTGATAAATAATAAGCTAATTTTATTAGTATTTCACATGTGATTTTATATATATATATAAAATATTATATAATGTATAATTCTTAAATACCAAAGATGATCTATAACTATAGTTCTAATCACTAATAATATGTTAAAATTCAGTCTTTTGCATAGTTATTAATACCTTTTTACTATAAAGACACTAAAATTTTTTACATTAAAAGTATTGAATTATGTCATAAACTTTAGTATTTATTAAAATAGCTAATAATATTTTTTCTGCATTTTTCATAGATACTATTAAAATAAGACGAAATTATTTTGTTGTTTTAGTATAATATTTGTTTTTAAATTCTTTATAACAATTAATGTTAGCTAAAGTTTTATATATAAATAAATAATTATGTTAATATAAATAGATTAAAGTAAAATATATTAATTAAATATACTATACTTATATTTTAATAGAATAGGATCTGATAAAAAATCTATATTTTCAAAAACATAAGAAGAAAGTCAAACTGATTTACAAATATTATAATTAATATTATTGCATTTCTTAATCTATAAAATAAACTTAATTGTTATAAATTTATTTTGTAAATAATAAATTATTAAAAGAAAAGTTTAAATTTACTTGAAATGAATAATGATAAATTCTACATGTGTTTTAAGAAATTCTTAAAAAACTTTCTTTTTTGATAATATTTCTGTAGTTGTTTTAGTAATTCTTAATGATTTATCAATTTTAAGAATAATCTGTTTAAATATTTTAAGTATTAATATTAAAATATATAAAATCTAAATTAATATTTAAAACTAAATAAATACTTTAAAAAAATCATTAATATTGTGATTATTTGTAGTATCATAATACTAAAATGTATTTTTATATAATACTAATCTTTTAGTTCATAAATGTAATAACTATTGAACATTAAAGATATAATCATATAATCCATTTTTTATCTCGATATTTTTATTTGCAGCTGCACAAATTTTCTCTAATATATCAGCCTTTTAAATATATTTTTTAACTTTGTACTCATCATATTCTTCATAATTGCAACTCCTTGAAGTTTAAATTATAATAGACATAATTTGTTCTGCAAGATTGATCCAACTATAATATAATATGATATATAATACAATAAGTAAATCAAAATTCATCATGAAAAAATAGACAAATAAGAGAAATTTGAATAAACTAAATGTAGTTTAGAGATTAAGACCATTATCAGTATAAAGACAAAGTATAGGTAGAATAATAAAAATATAATGCATTTTAATCATATTAAAATTTAATTGTATATCTAATACTAAGTTAAAAAATAGTATCTTTATATGAAACAAAACATTGCTATAATAAAAAGAATTTTTAATAGTTGCTGAAATATTAATAAAAAAAATAACTGAAAAAGTAAATGATAATTTTGTAAAGTCATAATCGCTTATTACTAATGTTAAATTTACACTAACTAAATTTTTCTTATTACATATACCAGTTGATATAACTATACTTTTTTCAATTAGAATTTTATATTTATTATCAGCTGTAATAAAATAAACATAATTATGATAAAGAATAGCAAATTTACGTAGATAATAGAAAAGATAAGCTTAGTAATATATATCTAAATAATCTTTACATAATTGAACTTAATATTTAATATTAAACTATTTAGTATAATATATTACTTTACTAGTAGTAGGATTAGTAGGCTAAAATTGAAGATAAATCTATTTATTATATGAAATATTGATATTGGATAGTAAAGATATATTATATTTGACTTCTAATTGATATATAATAAAATCACAAATTAAAATTGTGATTGGTATATACAAAATTTCTTGTTACCATCTATTATTAACTGCAAATATATTTTTTAAGTAAATAATAAAAATAGTTAGTTATTTATTTATTCAAATAAAAATATATTATATAAAATTAAAAGTATTTACTTCATTAAAATATGTTTTCATTTCATTCCAAAAAATGTCAAACCTTTTCTCTTGAATCTATTATTAATATGCAAATTAATAATAATTAATAGATCTTCAAATTATATTATCATTTATAGTTATTCTTTAATTTCTTTACTAATTATATTATTTGTTATAGAAGCATCACTAGTCAAATCAAAATATAAAATTCAAAATATAGCTGAAGTAATTTTTTTAAAAAGAGAATACTTAAAAAAATTATATTAGTTTTATTTGTTTATTATGAAAATTTAATTATAGAAAAATTACTTTTTAAGAGTATTTCTACATATTTAGCATATATAATATTATGGTAAATCTTCATTAATCACTTCTATCATACAAGCATTTTCTTTTTCTGATCAGTGATCACTCCTTAATAAAACCTTTTAAATGTAGTTAATAATATTAAGATAATTATTCTGATAATATCAATAGATTGAAATAGAAATATTAAATTACAAATTTTTGATGTAATTATATTTTTTTATTATATTATGAGGTGTATACTTCTTAAAATCAAAAAATTTATAATAGTATTTTTTATGTAAAAAATCAGAAAGTTCTTGATATTTTGAATTAATGCTATCTAATACTTCAATTTTATATATTTTAAATCACAACTAGAATTACATATTGAAAAATTATTATTATTTATTACATTAATCTTCTAATTAACTTCACATAAATAATTGATATATTTTTAATATTTTAATTAATAAAAGAATTTGCATAATAAAATTTACTCATTTATTTATACTTGTCTAAGGTTGTTTTATTGATAGTTCTAATGATTTCACCAAGTGTTCAAGCTTTTTATGTGAAAGTTACTCTTTTTTGTGATGTCTAGTAAAATAGAATTTATTATAGCATTTATTACATTAATATTATTTTAATTTATTGAATATATCTGGTAATCCTAATGATTAAGCAATAAGTTTATTTCTATGTGAATCAATATACCAAAGAAGAAAAACTAGCTTTTTTACAAACTTATTAGCAAATGATTCTGATTCTATGCTTTTTTAGCTACTTTTCTGTTTTTTTAACAATACAATAACATTATTATATAATAGATCATATTAAGTATCCTTCCTTTTTAACATAGGAAAATAAGATTGATAGGCTTTTTCTATCATGATATTAAAAATATTTATTGAGTCTTGTTAATTTATTTGATTTTTCAAGCTACTTTCACCAGTATCATCAGCATTTGAATAATAAATCTTATATATTTTAACTCCAACTTTAACATTAAAAAAAGTTTGTTATATAATCCATTTTCAACATAAACCCATTTATTATCAATTTTTTCATGAATATTTCGCATAAAAAATAGATTTTTTGTAATTGCATTATACACTTCTTTAAAAGTATTTGTATTTAAATCAACTTTAATAACTTTTTACTGATAATATTTTTTGATCTTCATCAATACTAATAAAAAAATGTGGCATATTGAAAATTATTAAAACTCAAAAAAATCAAATTGTGATAAAATTCATTCATTTTGTGTATGGTACATTTGGTATATGTGAATGTATATATGGTAAATTGCTGAATTTTTCAACTTTCCTGTGTATATGTGAATTCATTTTAATGTATATACAGTAAATTGCTGGATTTTCCAACTTTCCTTTGTAAATAATGAAAGGAGTGAGAAAATTTCGACTCATATTGTTCATAATTATTGTTACGTAAGTTATATAATAGCACAGCCTCTAAAAATTGATGTAATACTTCATATTTAAATGATAAATTTCCTTTTATAGTATAATAATGTAAAAAATCACATGATAATATTTATGTTATTCAAAAACTACTACATGACCTAGGGGGAGGAGGGGGGATTGTGTTAAACGTACTTTTTACTTGGTCCGGCCTTAACAATGTTTTGATTTACATAGTTGATGGAACACCCCAATGTCTCACCAAATGAATTTAGTTATGGGGTTATCTTCAAAGAATCAAATATTTATCAGCAAACTTCAGCAAGTGCTGTTAAAATTGTTAGTTATTTTCATTTATCAACTTATTTTACTGGTCTATTACGAAATGAGCAAGAATTATTGTATGGCAAAACAATAGCTTTGGCTACTCCAGTTGAAACACATTGGAATATTATACTTTAGTTTATTGATTAATGAATAAATATTTATTTAACTTTATTCTTTAGCTACAAAATTTGCGTCTTGAAGATCCTTCTACATCTCGAAGTAGATGTGTTATTTGTTTTTATTTCATATAATCCTTGCAACCTGATGTATTAATAAAAATTTGTGAATAAATTTCACGGAAATGTGACCGCGGAACTTGAGTCGCACTCGCAGTTCTGGCATATGTTTTAGCGTATCACAGCCAAAAAGTTACGCGTATAGTTCTTTCCCTGAAACGGTTAAAATGGGCGAATAAAGTTGCTTATCTATTGTACCGATTTTTTACGTCTCATAAAACTGTAATTGAGGATGAAGTGCATTGAGCGGTAGAATCATCGGAGATTTTTAATATCCCGTCTGCGTTAGTTCACACAAAATTACATATGTAGTCTGATCGCCCATTAAACCTTTTAGGGTTAAGGTGCAAAAAGCACGGTTCTGGCGACATTGTGTGAGATCGCAATAAATAAATGAAGAAGGCAGATTACTGGTAGATTTTTTAATGAAAAACGTTAATCGAATTTTCTCTTTAGATAAAAATAACGCAATCTTGTATGATCCGGTTAAATTTCCCGCGCGGTAGGAATAAGTATAAAAGGTTTGTTTCCAATTGTGAAAAGATAGCGGTCTCTAACTTGTTATTATTTAAAAAATTCGACGAGTCAAACGTTGACCTACCAATAAAGCTCTTTGGGTGCATACCATTTCGGCCATACCCGCTGTTTTTTTACTCGTTATATTCATAGGGATCCATGTGGCACTAAAATCGCCAATGAAATCGAAAAAATCAATTCACGTGATGTGAGTTACGCCACGGAGGCGCAGAAAATTGTAACAATGATCAATGCCAACGAAGAAGCCTGCCGTAATAATTTTGGCAGATTTACGGCCGATTTCACCTCAATTAATGCTTCGATTGGATCTCTCCAGAATGAAATGATTCGACGTTATTCTGAAAGCCAGTCGAAACTGATCAGCTGAGCGTGGCTGGCCAATCAGAAACATCAAGCAGGAAGCAATCCTAAAACAAAAAAAAACATTTAGGTGGATTGTATTTTTTTTTTTTTTATGAAATAACAATCCTTATTTATTGGATCTGATCTTTAGCAAAATAATTCTTATAATATTTTTTATTGTGATTTTCTTAATTTGATTAAACTTTTTATACATTTAAACGTTACATTATTTATCAAATCAGATAATTGTCCTGAGCGAAGCGAAGGACTATATATTTCTGTGCATTGATTAAATTTGGTCATGACGTTTCTCTGTCCACTACGTGATTTTCGTCCAATAATTCGCTCAGGACTCACAACGGTCCCCCGTTTCCTAGTTCCTGTATTTACATTAGTTACTTGATTTTCATCGCCAGTGTCTATTATAATATATATTATTAGTATCTTATTTTAAAACGTACACTGTGTATTTAGTTTAACACGTATAAGAGAAAACAATGATTAAAATCATTTATTAAAAAAAAAAAAATAACAGATTATACAATTGTCGGTTTACACATTTATGAGCGGAAGAAATATAAAACTAACATATAACATACCGAATAAATAATTGCCTTTAATTTCTCTTACACTTTCGTTAACATAATATATAATCCTTGAAAGATAAATCACATTAATTGCTAATATCAACTTCGTCCAATAATAATCATTTCCAGACAAGAGTGCCATGTTTAACATTTGGACTACCGGTGTCCAAATGCAAGTTAATCGAATAAGGAATTTTCTTAATTTGGACTCTGTTTTTGAGGGTAGATAATCGTCCGGTCCCACGCGCCGGCCCTGATTCCTCCGGATGGAGTTACAAATAGTGAGACAAAACCAAAAAATCAGATAAATCGCTCCTAAAACTCCGGTTACTACATGTAAGTAGACGAAAACATTCTTAAATGGACTATGAGACTGGAGTTTACTACAAAATTCACATAAGATTGACAACAATTATCTTCTTCACAGATAAGATTGTTATTGATATGTATATGGGCTTTCTCATCAATAATTCTATATTCTTTGTTAAATTTATTCCATTTATTTATACTTCGTAAAATTATGATGAAAACAATGCCAGCTATAACCACCAAGAGAATTGGAATCCAGAGGGGAATTATATATATCTCCATGTTTTTAAAAAGTACTATGCCTGGTATAACGTAAATGGATAACAAATAAAGAAAGTCATCGACAATTCGTTTAACTCTAACTCGTTTCTTTTTTTCTTCGGTTAAGTTTTCTAAATTTTCGTCTCCAAAAGAATAATTATCAGTGTAGGAACAAGCGCATTAATTACTTGATCAAAAACGTCTGGAATAGGATTATAACATTCGCCTTCGTCTGGTTTAGGAACACATTCGACAGCAAAAGCTGAATCAAAGGATGACAAAATAATAATTCCAAAGAGATGACGTTTTAAATGGTGCATTTGCATTTTGTTGTATGGTTGTATATTGGGTAGTTGTAACGAATTGCCGTTCAAGGTGGATATTTATATGTTTTGCATCATAATACTGACCTAAATATTATCTTTAGAAATCCTCAATGAAGACTCTCTGGTGCACGAACATTAATACCTAGTAATTTCAATTGAAACATAAATGCAGCCAAGTAATATTTGCATTTTGTGTATTTCTAAAACATCATTGTAAATAACTCATTATTCAAACCTAATGATTATTTTAGTATTCTCTCAATGAACACATGCATGCTATCAAAATAATAGCACCAAATGTGTTTCAGTAAATGAACAAATGAGACCGGAATTAATATTCCATTTATGTTTTCATAACCTATAATTCGCTATATTTGCAGGTTCTGGTCTAATAACATTCAGAGATATTAGATTAACTGTCTGGACCCAATTCAAACAAATTTTCGACAAATTAAAGCTTAAAAAATTTTAACTTAGAAGAAATGTGTCTTCATGTAGCAATGGAATTCGTGAATTAGGAGGGACTATTAAGAAAGTACAGTTATGAAAGGAATATCAAAAAATACTAGATATGAGTTTATGATTAGATAGTCAACTAAGCAGGCATTTATACTTTATTTCTCCCTTGAAACAGCCTGCTACTCTATTATTTTTTACTTTCATTTTTACTTAACCATTCAGATAATAAAGATTTTACTTCAAATTTTTTAAATGTGTGTTTTATTTTTCAAGTAATACTGTAATAAAATATTTCATTTGCTTTGCATTCTATTGCATGATACTTAATAATAGTGGTTTAGAAATCTGATTAAGCTAATCATCTTATGATTTATGGTAACTTGTTAGTATCAGAGAAATATCATAAAAATGGCAGGAAATTGGTAGAGTAATACAAATTTTTTATGATATATATCAATAATGAATCTGAAAAAATAATTTAACCATCATATTAACTCAGATATAATTTAACCAAATCATTATATCAATAAAAAAAATAATATGTTAACACAAAGCTAACTTATATAAATGTAAATATAAAATTAGCATAATCCTATATTCTAATATATTGTAATTAAATAAAATAATTAGATTTAGTATAATATAAATTGCTAATTAATTATAAATTGATAAATTAAAAATAATATAGTCAAAGGCATTATACATAATCAAATATATTTATTATATTATTTAATATTCAAATAGGTTTTAATGATATTTATGAGAAATATTATAATATATTAGTTATAGATGATAAAATTCTAATTAAATAAAAAAATAGGATTTAGAATTGCTTAATGTATTTCAAAATAAAAAATATTATATATATAATGAGAAAGGTTACTTTTGTACTATTAAACTGAGTTTTATTTATAGAAATATATGCTTTATAAAATGTAAAATGACTATCTACTACTTATGCATATATTTTACAATAGGATATTTAATAATAAGTGAAAGATTTATATATAATAAATTAATAGACCAATTTATAATTGAAAGATTCAGATATATTATTTTAATAAAATTCATTGAGGTATATTCAATATTAGACTAATGCTTATACTAAAATTATTTTCATAAGATAAATTTAAAGATTATATAAAAATAAATCAGTTAAATAAAATTTTATTAATATTATAATTTGCAAATAAAATAATTCAATAAATTCTGACACAAAGAATTATATACTATAATCAACAATAATTATATTAAAAATAAATTTGATATCTTTCAAAAAAAAATCTATATAGTTATATTTTATGATTAAAAAATATTATTAGAAGAATTAGACATATCAAATAAAAATATATTCTTTTGAATATTTAAAAACAAAAGGAATTTTATTAGATCATGAATAATATTTAAAAGATGTATTTACTATATATAATTGAATGAATAAGTCATATTTATTAACCTTTTTTCAAGTGAAATATTTATCTTATCTTTATATGCAAAAATAAAATAATTTATTATCATATATAAACTATTTTAATTAATCAAAAAGTACTGTATTAAGATTGAGAAATATAACAGAAATCACAATTATTTAACTGATTTGATTTATAGATTTAGAAAAATTATTTAAATATAGATCATTACTTTCTTGATATTTAATTTATTAAGCAAATGTATATTATATAAACATATTTTTTCTCAAAAATTTCAAAAAGAATAATAAAGTAATCTTGTGATTTTTAATTGTGAAAAAATATAATTATAGTTTTTATATAATAGTTATCTAGTGAGTCTATAAAAATTATAAGAAAAGATTTGAAAAATTAGTAAAATAAGTTTAAGAGGTGATAATAAATAATGGTATTTTTGATAGGAAAAGCATTTAAGTATTATTTATTATGATAAAAGTTATTATTATATTTAATGAAAAATTAATAGAATTTAAATTAATTGATCATTTTTATTCAGAAAATAAATATAACATTTATTTTATTAGTACTTGTACAAAAGAGAAAAATCAAATTATATTAAATGGTCTTATAAAATTTATTATTTAGTTTTTTCAATTTTTAATATTTACTAATAAACATATGATTTATATATTTTAAAACTTTAATAATTCACAAAATAATCATATAATCTGAAATTAAAATAAAAGAGAATAACCTAATCAATTATTTTATCAGAGTTAAATTTTAAAATTTACACAAATTATAGACTAAATAGATTTGACAATTATACTAAATTTTTGATTAATATATATATATTACATTATAATAAAGATTTTTTATTGAGTTTTAAAAATTAAATATTTTATATTATATAAAAAATCATTTAGAAACTTTTGATAACTTATCTGTATATAATATAATTTAAAGACAAATAAAATTGTTTTTAATAATTCATCATTAATAAAAATTTAAAGATAAGATAAAAGCAACTTTTTTAAAATTTTATAAGAATATGAATGTATTCTTCTTATTTAAAATATGATAAATTAATATATAATTTTAATAATAATGAAGTTTCTGAAATACTTAAAAATATTATATAAAATAAGAAATATAAAAAAAATGATGATAAATTGATAAAATAAACAAATCGTATATTAAAATATTCTGTAGGTAATTTGAATATCTCTTATACTTAATTAAAAAAACTTTTTAACTATTTTTAATGTAAAAAAGAGATATAGCATTTACAATTAACAAAATGCATAGTTCTTAAAATAAATGAACTAATATAAAGGATATCATTATATTTTTATTTCAGACCAGTTTAATAGATCTTTTAAATGATATTATTTATCTTAATATTATAGAATATTAGAGTATAATAAATAAAGTTTGAAAATGTTTTAAATCAAATAAAGAAAAAACTTTATAATTCTCTAAAGTTTTAATATAAAATAAACCTGATATTATGATAATAAAAAATATGAAAATAAATTATTTATATTATAATCTTTATATATTATCTGCACTAATTTGAAAAAAAAATTATAAATTATAAAGAAAAACTTAAAATTTAATAAGTTTATTAATATTACTTGTAAATAATTAATTTAGTATCATCAGCAAAAAATTATATCTAAACTTTTAGTAAAAGATGCAAATAAATTATCAAGATATTTTCATTTTCATTAAGCTCAAATACATTTTTTAATTTATTATTCATTTATTATTAATTTTAAAAAATATTACAATTGTAATCAAAAGTTTATTAATACAGGTAATAGAGCAAGTTAACATATATTCTTCACAAAATATCAATCTAAACTTTATTATTTCTTCATCATGATATAGATAATTTTGTAATATCTCAAACATTTGTTTTTTATCTATTTAGGTTAATAGATAAAATTTTAACATAATAATTAGATAACAGAAACCATTGTGTATCTGAAGCTGTCATGTTCAAATTTTTTTGAGCTTGACATTTTTATTTTAGTTTAGTGATACATTTACATTAATTTAGTATAGTGTTACATTTAATAGTTTTACGATGAATAATAAATATGAGAGATTTTTTCTTTATTTTGATCATTATTTATAGATAATTTACTTTAATATTACAAACTAATTCTAATTTCACGCAACTTATCAGAAATGTTATGTAGCTGTTAACTGCGTGATCTGTGGCTAGCTTTTCTAACAAATCTTTCCTTCTGAACTTCCTAACTCTAAATCTGACCCTAATGCCACAATGTTACATCCTAACCCTGATGTCACGTCTTAATCCTAATGCTAATGCTATATTCTTATCCAAATGTTACGGTATAACATCTATAGTGACTGATCAATATTTTGACCTTTTGCACAGAATGTAAACATCCTTCACTTTTGCTTTAAACAATTAATATAAATAATTATTTATGCATATAATTTGAACGCTTTATACAGTATATAAAATATTATTTATCATGTCATCTGAATTTGAAATATTGAAAAAATGTATTATTAAGCTTGAGACTAAGAAAGTTGAGTTTGAAACTAGAAATACTGACTTTTAAAGCAGGTTATAAAAAAGTTCAACAAATTCATAGTTGAGAATATTTAACTCAAGATTAGAATAAAGAAATTAGAAAAAAATAAGATAAATATCACTAAACTCATGTTTGCGAATGTTAAGCTTAGAGATAGAATCATAAAGGTAAAACAGAAGCAGTTATAAAATAATAGTTTTTCTAACAATAGTTCATCTAAATTCAATTTGATTATAAAGCATTATGACAAAATCATTAAAGAAAAGGAAATAGATACTTATAATGTACCTAATTATGTACTAATATGTGACAATTTGAATCATTGGAAGAAAGAATATGAACTCTTTTCTGGTTAAGGTGAATAAGGAAAATGTTAGTGATAAGATTAGAAAGGAAACTAAGAGTCATTTCTAATATATTCTGAAGAGAAAAGCTCTCAAAACCTCAACTCAATTATTTACTTATATAATATCATATTATCTGTTATATTAGTTAATTTAGATTTTTTCCAGAAGATAAGATATGTAACAAAAGTAAAAGGAGAAAAGGGTATATATAG